CAGACACTCAAGAATGTCAACAGGCCTGTTCATAATGTATCTAATAGGTTAACTTCTTTATTATCTACCTTTAGATCCAATCCTCTGGCTGTTCTAAACAAGGAATCGAGAAGTTACTAAATAGTTGGCAGGCAGCAAGGGCCGACCTGGGCTCCAATGGCCCAGAAAGAGTGAATACAGACACCTAAGTTGTCTAATTTATGTTATGCCTTTATGCTCTGTAGAAATCTGTCCTAGAGTTTTGCATAGCTGCCAAACAGAAGTAGGCAAACATTCTTTTAGTAAACTCTGTGGAAACAAAATTCTACCCAGATATTTGATAGGAAAATAGAATCTAAAAACGCTTCTGTCCAGCCCGTTGGCAGCTCCCCAGTCTTCCATCTGCTCGGTGCACTTTCATTCCCTTTGCTCTCGACTCACAGATGATCTCAGAAGCATGAAAGGTAGCTTAGGAGGTCACCCACCTGGCAGACAATGGTAATTCACAAGACCAGGTGGAACACATTCTATTATACCCTTGCCCTTGCCCTTATTCTGCTGTTGGAAATATGCAATTAGGTAAAACTTGTCAAAATCTTCCCAGCCTTTTTTGTCTTAGCTAAAGGTAGCAAGTGATGTTGTTTATTTTAAAAAATCAGTCTTAGCTCTTAATCAAAGTAGAATAACATTTGTAAAAAAAAAAAAAAAAAATGCTAGAGAATGCAAAGGCTTCAAATTTATCTTTAATAAACTTTTGTCCAAAGTCAACCTCCAAATCAAGAAGATGACCTCTAGATCTGTTGTTTTAATAACCAGTAATCTTATTGTACACATTTCAGTAGGCATTTGAAAAATATTTAACTATGCAGCTTTGCAGATATTATGTTCTATTTGAATATGGAGGAAATTGTACTTAAGAGTTTAACTTGAAAAGTTAATGCCCACTAAAAGTTAATTAATGCCTATTTCATGCTCCAGAAAGATAAAATATCAACGTCCGATGGAGATGTCTTATTTATATATACAGCTGTCCAGAAATCAATGGGATACTCACAAGATTAAACAGGAACATCCTTTACTTACGGAAAACAGGATAAAATAAATCTAAAATTAAGCATCATACAGTGTTCTCAATTAAAATGGAATGGCCTATCCAATCAAGGAGCCCTGGTGGCACAGTGGTTAAAGTGCTAACCGAAAAGGTTGGCGATTTGAACCCACCAGCCACTCCATGGGAGAAAGATACGACAGTCTGCTTCCATAAAGATTTATAGCCTTGGAAACCCTATGGAGCAGTTCTACTCTGTCCTATAGGGATACTATGAGTCAAAATCGACTTGACAGCAATGGGATTGGTTTGGGTTTGGTTGGCCTACCAATCAGTTCTAGTCATGAATACAGATTTTTCAAGAGTACACCTTCTTCCCCACTTAGTTCTAATAACCAAGTTTTCCCAAATAAAGTTAATTCTGGAAGTTCTTATGTATGAAAAGCAGTTTTTGGCCAGAAGAGGTGATATTTGAAACAGCCAGAAGATTAAACTGGCACCAATTACAACAAGCTACTGTGTCTTAATATTGAGCTAAAAATTCCCTGGTTCACTGGTACAGGGCTTATTTTATACAGAATGTGGACAAAAGGACAAGTGGTAGGTAGGGGGAAAAATGAACAAAACTTTCATTAAATACCATACAAATCTCTGGCACCACTCCACAAAACCTGATTATTGAATAACTTTAATAACAGACATTTTTTATCTGTTCCTTTAAACTCATGAGGGACTCTGCCATGCATTGTGGGAGGTGGTGGGAAAAGGGCAAAGAGAGGAAGGACATGAAAAGATGCAGTGATAAAGACTAGGGGGCAGGGAGTTATGCAAAGCCCAATACGCCCCAGAAAGAGTGGCAGCACAGGAATCTACAGGTCTTTCAGAACTGCCCCAGCTTCATCGTAGCTAACAGTAAGCAAGGCTCAGAAGGGCTGTACAAAGGACCTGGTAAGCAAGCACCCCAACCTCTGTCTGTCAGTTTATCATACTTTGGTTGCTATGATGCTAGAAGCTATGCCATCAGTATTTCAATTACTAGCAGGATCACCCATGGTGGACAGGTTTTAGCAGAGCTTCTAGACTAAGACAGACTAGGAAGAAATTAGCCAATGAATACCCTAGGGATCACAACAGAATATCGTTCAATAAGTGTTAGAAGATGAGCACCTAGGTTGGGAAGCACTCAAAATACACAGCTTCAACCCCCCTCTTCTCTTCTGCCTTTCCATGTAGATCACCCCTCCAGTTATTAAGGACAAGATACCATTTGCCATGGGAATCACTCTGGTTTTAGTTCCTTAGAAAAACAAACACAGTTAACATTTCCTAAGCATTTACCAACAGGATAAACAAAATCATTTTTGTAGGTCCTGTCACAACATCTTATGTTTTACAATGATGACACGAACAAGAATTTTATCAAAATAAGACTAACCCATGTGAAGAGAGGATGTCCAACAAAATTCGAAAAGGAATGAATGAATGCATCCTCATTTTAGTTCTACGCCACAAACAACAAACCTAGGTGGGTTGCTCTTTGCTTAGGTTTTAGAGGCACCTTTCCGTAAATACTGGTCATTTTACAAACGTATCTATAATCTAAACTTTCCCATTAAGACCATGTTGATTTCACCTTCTTTTTGGTCTTAAAGGACCCTGGTGGTGAAGAGGTTAAGCAGTTGGCTGCTAACTGAATGGTCCGAGGTTGGAACTCACCACTTGCTCCAGGGAAAAGATGTAGCAATCGGCTTGCATAAAGATTACAGCCTGGAGAACCCTACGGGGCAGTTCTACTCTGTCCAATAGGGTAGCTATAAGTTAGAACTGACTTGATGGCAACAGGTTTTGGGGTTGGTTGGTTTCCTAACCCTGCTCCTGAAAAAAAAAAAAAGAATCAATTATTTGTGATCACTACTGCAAGTATTTTACTAACCCCACTGAAAATGTAAATGGAATCAGGGGACAAAAAACTGTAAGGGAAGAAACCCTAATGCCAGGTTTTCAGACACTGCTTCAGCTCACACTTTCAATATGCGAAAGGGTTTCTTCTTTGAATGAAGTATTTTAAAATCTGAGATTATAATTTTGAGGAAAATAAATTCTTACAAAAATTTTTTTATTTTTATTTCCTGGTAATTGATTTAACAGAATTCCCTTAAAATTAACATCCTCTAAGTCGATGGCAATACGTTTGGGTTTTTTGTTTTGTTTTTTTTAAATTCCTTTTAATAAACAGTCATAGGGCAACAACTCTCAAAGAGTCTCAACCTCAAAGAGACATACTCTGGTTGGGTGAATGGAAGAGGTAAAGATATACAGAAAAAGCAAGAGGTAGAATTTCTAAGTCATCACTTTGGAATTTATTAAACAAAACTAGGAAAGAAAGGTGAAAAAGAAGTGAATGGGCAAGCAAGGCCAACTATGGGAAAGGAAGAGCACTATGGTCATTAGAGTCAAACGTGCCACACTCTGCAATGCTATAACACTTCTATCCACATGCTGCAGTGGTAGTAGGTAAACTTTTACTTAATTTTAGAAATATCATGCTCTGGTACCTAAACACTTTTCCAATTCAGTTCTTGCTCTTTTTTACAATTTTTTTTTTAAATAGTCTTTTTAAAAATTATTGTTTCAAAAAATAATCTTTTTCTTTCATAAAGGGGCCTTGATACATGAAGCAAGTTCCAAATACCCAAAACACTTCACGCAACAACACTTACTGCGTGCTTACAATGTCTTAGGCTCTGAGCAAGCTGAGGGAAGCCCCTCAAGTCTTGGGACCCATTATTTTGCTTCTGAAAATTTTTTCACTAGGTCCCTCTCCTTCTCAAACATACTAAGTCCACGAGACTCTAAACTCTTTATGAATATGCAAACTCCTTACTTCTGAAAGCTTTTGAGCGTGTCATCGTAGGCTGGCTCATCTGCAAAGTGTGTGATGTGAGGGTTTGGTTTACGTGGCTCCTCCAAGGCAGTTGCAGATGTGACTGCATCTTAGAGGTGCCTGGAATGTTTCAACTGGGTCTGTTTCAAAGGAAAATTAAGTGTTGTGGATTAAATAAATAAATAAATAAATAACACCTCCCCTACGATCTAAAGGTGCAAACTCCCAGGGCCAGGGGCTCTCCTACCTTACTCCATATATACCGCACCGTGCTTCAGGCAGGACCACCCACCGCGTAGGCGCTCGGATACCGGAGGTGCTTGCAGATCCCCTGGTAACTGGACGTCCTTCCATCAGGAGTATTGCGCCTCCTTCCCTCACTGTGCAACGTTTACTGGAGGTTTACTGTGTGTTGGTGACCAGGTGAGAGTGTAACATGAATTACCTCACTTAATCCTCACACACAACTCTATGAAGCAGTTACCAATGCTTCCACTTTACAAACCAGGCAGCCGAGGGTCCGACAAGCTCAGTATGGTGGGCCGAAGCACACAGGGTGAACGGCAGGGCCAGGAGGTGAGCACAGGTCGTTTGGTTCTATGCCCCCCGCTCTTAGTCGCCAAGCTGCCCCCTCCAGTAAATCCATCATCCCTGGCACAATTTGCCAGCTCTAAAACATCACATTTCTGGGCGTCTAAGAATGCGACCCAGGAGGCCCTCAAGCCCCTCTTCGGAGGGAATGCGGGTCCCCGTCTCCATGGCGCGCGCTGCCCGCCTCGGCAGGCCCGGGGACATGAGTCCCGGGGACAATGCCCTGCGCTCCGGGCCGGGGAGGGCGGTGAAGACGCTGTTTGCGCTCCAGGCCAGGGAGGGGCGACGGGTCGGGGCCGGGAGCCACCTCGCCGGTAGTGTGGGTACCCCGCC